ACATTCAAAGAAGGCTTATGGAGGCTACAAAAGCATGCGGCCCTAAACTCGGGGGCCTTTCACACCGCACAGTTGTAACTCATTGCGGGAAAGGGTTTATAGTTTAAGGGAGACAATATGCTTTCTGGCTGAGCATTCAAAATACTTTTAAAGTGATAGCTGCTATCAAGTCAACTTTGACTTATGGTGATCCTGTGAAGTCACGCCGTACTCTTAAGAGTCCTTGCAGACTCAGGGCCACAATTGAAATTGGCTCAGTGTGGATTGCATATGGAATATAATTGCTGGAATATATATTGAGGAGGGAATGTGTCTTTTGTACTAATTATGTGATTTGGGAGCTGTACAATGCCCAATGTTTTTATTATGTTGGGCCACGGTAGCACAATGGATTAAACCCTTGTGCTGCTGAACTGCCAAACTTATTTTGCACTACAAATAAGATATGTACTCCTGGTCAGTCGCATGGCCAAACAGGGCATAGGGTTACAGCCTGTGTTGGATGTGGTCGCACTCCCCCTGAAGACGCAGGTTCACAGCTTGGGTGTGATCCTGGACTCATCGCTGAGCCTGGAACCCCAGGTTTCGGCGGTGACCAGGGGAGCATTTGCACAGCTAAAGCTTGTGCGCCAGCTGCGCCCGTACCTTGGGAAGTCTGACTTGGCCACGGTAGTCCACGCTCTGGTTACATCCCGTTTAGACTACTGCAACGCTCTCTACGTGGGGTTGCCTTTGAAGACAGCTCGGAAGCTCCAACTAGTCCAATGCTCGGCAGCCATGATTTTAACAGGAGCGGAGCGCAGGGAGCATACAACCCCCCTGTTGCGCCAACTCCACTGGCTACCGATCTGCTACCGGGCTGAATTCAAAGTGCTGGCGTTGGCCTTTAAAGCCCTAAACGGTTCCGGCCCAAGCTACCTATCCGACCGCATCTCTGCCTATGAACCCACCAGGACTTTGAGATCTTCCGGGGAGGCCCTGCTCTCGATCCCGCCTGCTTCTCAAGCACGGCTGGCGGGGACGAGAGATAGGGCCTTCTCGGTGGTGGCTCCTCGGCTGTGGAACGCCCTTCCCTACGGACATTAGACTAGCACCATCTCTAATGGTATTCCGCAAAAAAGTGAAGACCTGGCTGTTTGAGCAGGTGTTCGAATAATTAGTGCAATGATTGGTTAATGAACACTGGAATGGAACAATGGATGACGAATCTGGAACAAGTTTTTGATGACGAGACGGCAGTGAATGGGTATTGTAGTGACTGTTTATTAATTGTGTAATGTGTTGGATTGTTGGCTGTTTCTATACTGTAGCACTGAATTTTTGCTGTTCGTATTTGTTGTGAACCATTGTGAGTCGCCTTCGGGCTGAGAACAGCGGTATATAAGTAAGGTAAATAAATAAATAAATAAATATGCAGTGAGCATAGGAATTCATTCATGTTTTTTTTTCAAATTATAATTCAGCCCTCCAACAGTTTGAGACACTGAGATCTGGCCCTCTGTTTAAAAGGTTTGTGGACCTCTGGTCTAGATCCTTCATTGATTCCACAATGCTCTCTGGATGTAGGTGAACTACAACTCCAAAAGTCAAGGTCAATGCCCACCCAAAAAACCCTTCTAGTGTTTTCTCTTGGTCATGGGAGTTCTGTGCACCAAGTTTAGTTAAATTCCATCGTGGATGCAGTTCAGAATGCTCTTTGTTTGTAGGTGAACCATAAATCTCAGCAACTACAACTCCCAAATGACAAAATCAATTTTTGAGTGGTAGTCACTCCTTGGGTTAGTAGGTGTCTTGTGGCCAAATTTGACAGCAGCAATTCGTCTAGTGGATTTTGAATTATGATGTCACTCAAAATGAACAGAGCATGCATACACACACACACACACACACACACACACACAGATGAATTACTAATATAGGAGGCTTGTAGAAGGTTGCTGTTTCCAACATTGGTCAGTAAAATGCTATTTTCACACCCAATGTGTAATGCACAATGATGTGTATTAATGCACAATCATGTATAGTGTGCAAGAATGTGAGGTGTCCATAAACATCAGATCACAGTGTTCAGTGGCACTCTCTGGGACCCTATGCTTCGGCCAGTTTGAACTAAATATGGAGGTTTCTCAGTGGATAAATGTGAAGGAGAATTTATGCACACCCCCAGATTCCAGTCAATGTGAAATACAAACAGAACATTCAGGTTTTAATGAGATCACAAACAGTGGAATAACAAGACCCTGGAAAACAGTTTATCATGTACCCAAACATCTTCAGATTGAACAGTACCTTCTTCTTTCTTTAGACACTAGCAAAACAAATTGAAACAACAACATCAGGATGGATTAGAGAAGGAATCCATCCCCAGATAGTCAGGATCAAAATGGCCAAATGCATTGTATTTATCTCATTATATGTGTATATTTGAAGTTACAAGGTTCTTTAGCTCCTGTGATCAACCCATATGTCTAATCTTGTCCTTGTTGAATCCTACAACAAGGAAGGAAACACTTCATTAGCCACCTTCAGACTGTGACTGGTTTGAACATGCTGGGAATCAGTCCCGATGATAAAAATCAGGGGAGAATTGTATTAAGCATGGAATAATATACAGACTTACCAGGAAGGCCTATGGACAGCAACCCACTCTTTTTCTCTCCCTTTGATCACCTGCTTTTAGGCTTCTACGTCTTCTTCTCTCCCTTTGAGGCAAAGGCAGTGGCAGTTGGGATGGATGCTTCAGGGCCCAGGCCTGAGGAAACTGTGTCTGCCACTTCTCTGCCTCTAAAGCCAGCACAGTGGCAGTTGGGTGGATGGTGATCCTTTCATTTGTTTCTGGGTCTAAGCATGATGTGCTTGCTTTTTTATTCCTCTGTGGTCAGGGCAATGGCAGTTGGAATGGATGGATTGTTTTCGCCTGCTTTTAGGCACGAACATTGTGGAGCAATTCTATCTCTTCTTCTCTCCCTTTGAGGCAAAGGCAGTGGCAGTTGGGATGGATGACCTTTCATCTGCTTCAGGACTCAGGCCTGATGGAACTGTGTCTGCCCCTTCTCTCCTTCCAAAGCCAGGGCAGTGGCAGTTGGGTGAATGGAGGTCTTTTCATTTCCTTCTGGGTCTAAGCATGATGTAGTTGTGCAGTGTTTAATTGTGCCATTGTACACTGTTTATAGTCTTAGGAGGAGAGCAGAGGCATAATTACACCATGAGGAACATGCTCCGAAGCAGAGCCAACAGAGTGTCACCACTATGGAATAATAATAATAATAATAATAATAATAATAATAATAATAATAATAATAATAATAATATCAAGTAAACTTTATTACGGTCGATGACCAGATAACAACAGGGAGACCCAGTCCTGCACATCCACGTCAAACCCAAAGAGCTATATACTTCAAACTTCAATAAATTTGAAAATCTAAGCTAAAAATCACATACAAGTAGTTATTAAAACCCACTACCTCTCTTTAGACTGCCTTTGGATGATCTAATGGGTTTTAAGAGTAATAATAAAAATAACAATAATAATAACAACAACAATTGCAGGTGACATCAGGATTGAAGAGAAATATCTGGAAAAGCTGACGCAATACGAGGATTTAAAAATTGAACTGCAAAGACTTTGGCACAAGTCAGTACAGGTGGTCCCAGTGGCGTGCAGTGCCTAAAGACCTTGGCCTGCACTTAATCATAATCGGCGCTGACAAAATTACCATCTGCCAGTTGCAAAAGGCCACCCCTACTTGGTTGTGCATGCATTATGCGCCGATACATCACAAACTCCTAGACACTTGGAAGTGTCCAACATGTGATCCAGTACAACAGCCAGCATAGTGATCTTGTTTGCTATGTACTCATCTTGTGTTTTACATAACAATAACAACAGCAATAATAATAATGGTCTCAATGCACCATGTGCCACCATCCACAGTGTCTCCCAATGCACAGCATTACACCAATGTATCATACAACCTGACAGTGTGATTTGGTGCAGTGGTGGCAATACACAGCATGCCCCATTGCATTTTGGGAGCCCCTGTTGCACCACTGTGCACCATCACAATTCACTAGCATGGTTGCCTGCCATGCCAGCAATGTACCATCATCATTATAAAGTTATATATTGTAATTCTAAAACTTGACCACTGTTATTATAATTAGGAACGGCAAGAATATTGATCATTATTAGTTTTTGGCTTTCCTGGTTACTGGAAAATTTGGTCAAGAAGAATAACAGAAAAAAATTAGACATGTTGGGTATCAGAGCTGTTAGGCTCAAAAACATAACCCTCATTTAGGGGTGATTTCACCATAAATATAGCAGAGTTCTAGAAGCAGACTTCATAACCAGCAGAAATTTACATGTGGTGAGTCAGAATTAACTTCCATTCAACAGGATAGCACAGTATTACAAAGACAGAACTTTTGATCCAAAATATCTATTCAAGTAAAAAAATCATTCTAGTTAGAAAGGGTCTTGGAGATAACTAGCTAAGCTCATCTTCTAAGGAAGGTAAAAGGATAAAATATCAAAAGTATCCATGCAGCTACATTTTGCCTGAAGAAAGGCAAAATGTGTCCTTACTGGAAGGAAGACAAAGGCAGATAGAGGGCAATGAAGAATGATGACATGGACCAAAACAAAGGGCAATAAAAATACCTTTAAAGAGGAAGTTACATGATACCTCACAGAGATTCCATTGCTACATATTCAAATGGGGAGGAGATAGTGGCAAGCAAGAAGAGTAAAGACAATCCCCTTCTGGGAGAAACATGTGTAGGAATGTGGGGAAAGGAATCCGTCACTCTAATTCTATATCTAAGTCTAGCTACTCATTGAGGACTGGAGACTTGTGCAGTCCAGGGATGAAACCCAACAAGACATACAGATACATCTGTGGAGAACCTTCTGCCCAAGAGAAGGAATCTACAATTATGGTGTTAGACTGCCTGTTTCTTATTATTCATCTTGTTCTCTTTCTTTTTCTAAACAGCCTTCCCGGTCGCTATGAACCATGGCTCAGTTGTACTATAAAAAGGTGAACTACTCACCCTACCGAGACCGGATTCCTTTGCAAATCGTCCGGGCAGAAGCCGAGCTCTCATTGGAGGAGAAAGCCTACCTCAGTGCTGTGGAGAAGGGGGACTATGCCAGCGTGAAGCACTCTTTGGAAGAGGCAGAGATCTACTACAACATCAACATCAACTGCATGGACCCTCTTGGACGCAGTGCCCTCCTAATAGCCATCGAGAACGAGAACCTGGAAATCATGGAGTTGTTGCTGAGCCACGGGATCTATGTGGGCGATGCGCTGCTATACGCAATACGGAAGGAAGTGGTAGGAGCTGTGGAACTTCTTCTGAACTACAGGAAGCCAAGTGGTGAGAAGCAGGTAGGTCAAGAACGCAAGTCTTGCTGGCCTTGTTTTTGGACATTGTGGGTGTGTAGAGGCTTGGGTTGACTCAAATTGTGACAATGTTGGTTTCCATGTCCTTGGAGCAATCCAAGCTTTAAGTGACTGTGCAAGGTGCTGATTTCTAACTCCAGTCATTCAGGACCTTGGACAGCTCCTGAAGAACTCAGGTGGAAACAAGCCCTGCATCCCCAATTCTCTGTATAGAATTTAGGAGTTGCCACAGGGTTCTGATATAGGTGATTTTTACAATTATGGTGTTAGCTGTGTGTCTTCAACTTACGTTGACCTATTCCAGGGTTGTCTTAGCAAGATTTATTCCGAGATCTTCCTTGCCTTCCTTCAAGGCTGAGCGGTTGTGATGCACCTAACTTCATCCAGTGAGTTTCTATGGCTGAGTAACACGTTGAATCCCAGTAATAGTTGTAATCCACTGGCTCTGTAATGGTGAGAATTTGGCAAATGGTGAGGCTCCCTCTAAGGTGCTCCTGTGTCCTGCTTCTATCTATCTATCTATCTATCTATCTATCTATCTATCTATCTATCTACTCCATTTATATACCGCTTTCTCAGCCCTTGAGTGACTCAAAGCGGTTTACAGTAGCAAAAATTCAAAGTTCAAACATCATAAAACAATTAAAACAATTAAAAACCATGGCATCAATATACATAATTACAAAGTCAATACAACATAACTCAGTAGCGTCTCTTAGTTAAAATCAAAATCCGATCTCATCATCCAGTCATTCCATGTTCCAATATTTGTTGCACTGCCTTCTCGAATGCCTGCTCAAGCAACCATGTCTTAACCTTCCTACAAAATGTTAACAAAGAAGGGGCCGATCTAATGTCTATAGGAAGGGCAGTCCGTAACCGAGGGGCCACCACTGAGAAGGCCCTGTCTCTCATCCCTGCCAAACGTATTGTGACGCAGGCAGGATCAAGAGCAGGGCCTCCTCAGATGATCTTAACGTCCTAGCTGGTTCATAGGAGGAGATGCTTTGGCGAGCTGTCCAACAAGTGTAGTTTAAAGATTAAAAAGCCCTAGGAAGGGAAATCAGGTGCTGAGCAAGTCTCTGTAATAAATGGAAAAACACAATGTTTGAACCAGTCATTTGTTTTTATTTGAAAACAATCATTTCATTGGTGTTAGAAAGCAAGATTCTGGGGGAAATGCAAGGACATGTTCAATTCCATCCCTAAATGATGTACTCTCATACTATATTGGAGCCCCTGGTGGTGCAGTGGGTTAAACCACTGAGCTGCTTAACTCGTTGACCGAAATGTCACAGGTTTGAATCTGGGGAACGGCATGAGCTTCCACTGTCAGCCCCAGCTTCTGCCAACCTATCAGTTTGAAAACATGCAAATGTGAGTAGATCAATAGGTAGTGCTCCGGCGGGAAGGTAATGGCACTCCATATAGTCATGCTGGCCACGTGACCTTGGAGGTGTCTATGGACAACGCCGGCTCTTCGGCTTAGAAATGGAGATGAGCACCATCCCCCATAGTCAGACACGACTGGACTTAATGTCAGGGAAAAACCTTTACCTTCCATACTATATATCATTGTTGTTGTTGTTGTTGTTGTTTTGTTGTTGTTGTGTGCCTTCAGGTTGAAAACTTCCCACACAAAACTCTGCCAATATACCTCACTCCCAAGCAACCACAGCACTACAGATTGTGGTTAAGAAAGTCTCCATTGGTCTTCTAGTCTTTGATATAATTGGACAAGTCCTCTGTATAGTATTCTCCAAGCTCAGTTTGGCTTCTCTTATCCCAGGTTGCATCTACACTTCTGGAAACCTAACGTGACCCTATCAAGTGGTTTTCTAGGGCTGACAGTGTATGACTCAAGCAAGTCAGTTTCTATTAGCCCTAGCTATTGCCAATCTAGCAGTATGAAAACATGCAAATGTGAGGAGGTAAATAGGTACTGCTTCAGCAGGAAGGTAATAAAGGTGCCCATGCAACCATGCTGACAACACAACCAGAAGTTGTCTACAGACAACAGGCTCCTTGGCTTGGAAATGGAAAAAGAGCACCTCCCTATGGACGGAGTTGAGCACTGCCTCCAGAAGCCGGTGATGAAAGGGGAAGGCTTTACCTTAGTTCTGTGTATTTGTGTCTTATTGTTATTCACTGTATTAAAGACATTGAATGTTTGCCTATCTGTCTATGTTGCAATCTGCTCTGAGTTCCCTCAGGGAGATAGAGCAGAATATAAATAAAGTGTTGTTGTTGTTGTTGTTGTTATTGTTGTTATTATATAAATGTTTAAGACCTGTTCTTCTGCACAGTGTGATGACGTGCATTTTGTTGTACCTGCATATTTCCCCTCTTCACCTAGGTAACAAAATACTTTCAGCTGACCTCAGGGAGAAATCCATTCTCTGATCATTTCTGAGAGATTCTAGTTTTCACAACACAGAAAAAAAAAGTCTGCAAGGGAACTGCCTCTAGCAACTGGCCAATTATAGCATGAGTGAGAACATATCTATATTGAAACACACTAGATTATGAATGTGAATGAGTCTTTTGTCCAGCTGTTTTTAAACTAACCTTGCTTGGTTGCCTGTCTATTGAAAGCCAATCAGTTGTTACAGAAGCAGCAAAAGAACGAGAAACAGAGGAGAAACACAGAAGAATACATTCCCCAGGGAGCTGTGGAAGTAATAACATTTTGCTTTAGAACCTAACAGGCTGGCTGAAAACTTTCCAATTAGATGCTAACAACATTGGCATTCAGATATGCTTTGAATGCGATTTTCCTGCTTCTTGGCAGGTGGTTGGACTGGATGGCCCATGAGGTCTCTTCCAGCTCTATGATTCTATGATTCTACAAGCTGTACCCACCATGTGTTGCTATGGCCAACCTTCCCTCACTCTTTCTCTCCTTCTTTCTTTCTCTCCTTCCTTCCCTCCCTCTTTCCTTGCTTCCCTCTTTTTCTTTCCCTTCTTCTTTCTTCCTTCTCTACCTATTTCTTTTCTTGCTTCCTTTGCTCTTTGGTTCCATCCTTCCTTGTCTTTTTCCTTCCTTCCTTCTCTCCCTCTTTCATTCCTTCTCTCCTTCCTTCCCTCTTTCACCTTTTTATTTCCTTCCCTCCTTCCTTCTCTACCTACCTTACCTTCCTTCTTTCTCTCCTTCTTTCCCTCTTTCTCTCCTCCCTCCCTCCCTTCTCTCCTTCTTTCCCTCTTTCTCTCCTCCCTCCCTCCCTTCTCTCCTTCTCTCCCTCTTTCTCTCCTTCCTTCCTTCCTTCTTCCCTCCCTCCTTTCTCTCCTTCTTTCCCTCTTTCTCTCCTTCCTTCCTTCTCTCCTTCTTTCCCTCTTTCTCTCCTTCCTTTCTTCCTTCCTTCCTTCTCTCCTTCTTTCCCTCTTTCTCTCCTTCCTCCCTTCCTCCCTCCCTTCCTTCCTTCCTTCTCTCCTTCTTTCCCTCTTTCTCTCCTCCCTCCCTCCCTTCTCTCCTTCTTTCCCTCCCTCCCTCCCTCCCTCCCTCCCTCCTTCCCTCCTTCCCTCCTTCCTTCCTTCCTTCCTTCCTTCCTTCCTTCCTTCCTTCCTTCCTCTGTTCTGTGTATGTGTTTTGTGTGTGCATATATGTGTGCATATGTGTATTTCTCTATATGTGTATATATGTGTGTTTGTGTACATATGAGGTTTTGCGCATGCGTTGTAATTTATTTTTTGTTTTTTGGCTTTTTAAGTCTCTTCTGCTGTATTTCCCAGTGTTTTTATGAGTGCTGGTCACTCATTGGCCTGATAGGTGTATTATGTCCAAATTTTGTGTCAATTCAACCAGTGGTTTTTGAGTTATGTTAATCCCATAAACGAACATTACATTTTTATTTATATAGATACTAGCCGTCCCCTGCCCTGCGTTGCTGTGGCCCAGTCTGGTGATCTGGAAAATAAAGTAATGCAAAAGTGTTGGTTTTAAATATATGTAATTTCTTTATGCTTTTGGGTAAATAGTATTTTTTGATGTTTCATTGTCAGTGTTGATGTGGAGATTGTTTGGTTTGCCTATTCTGGAATATGCAACATATCATTGTCCTTCTTTAGGGTTCCCTTTCAAATCTATGAGACTATATCTCTCTGTGTGTAAATCATATATATATATCTATATCTATGGCTGGTGGCTCTTTGTCAGGAGGGCTTTGATTACATTTTCTTGTCCTAGTGAAGGGAGTTGGACTGGATGGCCTTAAGCATGGGGGTTCTGTGTGGGAAGTTTGCCCCAATTCTGTCATTGGTGGGGTTCAGCATGCTTTTTGATTGTAGGTGAAATATAAATCCCAGTAACTACAACTCCCAAATGTCAAGGCCGATTTTCCCCAAACTGCATCTGTGTTCATTGTACTCCGAAACTCCGGATGATATCCCCCAGCTGCTTCAGGTAGATGTTAAACAACATCAGGGACAGTACTGAACCCTGAGGGACTCCACAAGACAAGAGTTGTGGAGTCGAGCAGAGGGTTCACCCTATAACACTTTCTGGAACCGTCCCTCCAGGAAGGACTGGAGCCACTGCAAAGCAGTACGCCCAAGTCCCATTCCTGCAAGGCATCCCAGAAAGATACCATGGTCAACGGTATCGAAGGCTGATGAGAGGTCCAGCAGAACCAACAGGGACACACTCCCCCTGTCTAGCTCCTGGCATAGATCATCTACTAAGGTGACCAAGGCTGTTTCAGTTCCATGTCCCGGCCTAAAGCCAGACTGTGCTGAATCTAGATAATCGGTGCCTACCAAGAACCCCTGGAGTTGCGAAGCCACCACACGTTCCATGACTTTGCCCAAGTAGGGGAGATTGGAAACTGGCCGATAGTTGACTAATTGAGTGGTGTCCAGTTTGCCCAAGGTGCTTAACTACAGGAAAAGCCAGTAAACCTATGGTGAAGAGAGGTCTGTATGCTAGGGGTCTCTTAGATAGGGCTATTTGGTGCTTCCTGGCAATTAGCCTCCCAGCCAATTTCCAAGAC